CCTTGCCTTGGCTGAGTGCATTAACTCTTGCCTTTCGCTTTGACGCATGTTGTATAAACTTCTTTCAAGAATATACCTTTATATCATTGCATCAATCTCGCCATTCATATTATTTTTCAGAGTGAAATTATGCCACTAAGATTTGAAAAGAGAAAGCTCAGAAACTACTCCAGTCAGTAACTGAAGAATTTTCTTATTAGAAGAAGCTAACCTAGATATGAAGAATTGATGTAGGAAAAGAAATGGGTCAGTTTACAGTATTTTAAAACACATGATTTTTTATCCTTCCTCATATATAGATAACTCATGTTATAATGAAGATTTAGAATATTTTGACATAAGATTGGTTTGTGAAGCTTAAAATCAATGATTTCAGAGAGCTGACAACTATTTCACTGTGAGCACCGCTTGAGAATTTGCAAATACTTTTCTGGAAGTGCAACATCAAGATAAAGACTGTTTTCTCCATTCATTATGAAGCTGTTGCTTGCTTGTTGCTGGAGTGACTTTACATTTTTGGAAATGTTAATCCATTTTGGAGTTTTTTAGTTTCCTTGTTCTTCGATGACATGATTTCTTGGTGTTGAACCTTTGTGATCATGATGATCCTTTTCAAAGATAATGTGGAATTTCTTCAAGTAGTACAAACTATGTCACCCATATGCGCACGGGCACCACCTATCTAGTTTGTGAAGAAACGAAAAGGTTTTGTGACGTTGGTTGGTACGACATTTCATGCATATGACACCATAAAGAGGAGTTTGAACCAAATATGTCAATTTCCTATAATGTACGATCATATCTAATGGTTCCCTCTCGCCCAAGATCAAGTTGAATCCAAACCTTTTAAACTTATGAAATACAAAAAAAATTCAAACGAAAAAAAAAAAAAACAGAAAAGGAACATGCCCATTCTTCATATTACATTACAAATATCAGACCATTTGGGCCACAAAACAAAGGTTCACTGGGCTCCTTCTTAGAGTCCCCTCCTAATTAACCACTGTAATAAGCCAAGTAATGCTACTCGAGTACAATTAAAGAGACTGCCTTAGTAGAGAGCAGGTAGCTGCTATGTTTGTTGCCACTTTCTGAAGGGCAAAAAGTTTTATGATATAGAAGGGAATGCAGGAGAAAAGCAACCATTAAGCTTTTTCTTTTAGATCCTTTATAAGCCTATGTATTTCTACTATCTACGGACTGACCGTTAGCGAGAACAGTCGCATAATCTGTACAACTGTACATCAAAGAATCAATCATTATTAAACACTCAGAATAGGAGAAGGCATAGGATGATGCAGCAGAAAAGAAAGATGGATAATCTGTTAAGAGACTTCTCCAACTGCCTCATTCTAGAACTACCACTTCCTGGGATGGTGTAAGCGCTTGGATGAGGATAAGCAAATACACTTGTGTCCGAGCTCCCGAAAATCCTTGCCAAAAACATTTCTCCAAATACCCCGACTGTCGGGCTGGACAAACTGGTCATCAGGGATGGACCCAAAGCAGCATAGCTATGGAAGGTAGAGGGGAGGTATTGCCTGTGATGAAGATGCTGACTTATGGGAGACGATGAATTAACCGGAGTGGTTATCCCAATGGCTTGAGGCCTGCGAGGTACAACAACATCCAGTTGAGACTTCTTGAGTTTAGATTCTGTTGATGATGTCCCACGGCCATAGAGAGGAACCAGCGATGAGCTTGAGATGTGAGCCTTACAGACTGGACATTTACATTTCTCTGCTGATCCTGGAGTAGAGCTCTCGACCTGGAGCCACTTGTAAAAGCAAGGCCAGCAGTAGAGGTGACCGCAAAGGGTGACTACAGGGTCATGTGCTGAGTCGAGACAGATATTGCAATCATAACCACCAATTGTACCATCAGAAGTTGCTGTTGGAACAGGAACTGCGCTCCTCTTCTTAACGGAAACATCTTCTTCAGATCCAAAACTGAATATATGTTCACCAAGAAAATTTTGTTCCAAAGCCATGAAGATCTGCTAAAGAACAAAATTTGTAAATAAATCAGCTCGTAAAGTATATTCCCAGACACATGGACAAAAAAATCCATAGGCTGGGACTCAGCAGCTTAACTTGAAATCTAAAATGAGAGGATCTACGGTAATAGTTCTATAACAAGAAAATGAACCGTAGAAATGAAAACATACATGTTTATAGCACAACAACATGATAGGATGAAATCCAGCAACATGATTGGGCATCAAAAACTTCTATTGAAACATGAAATCCAGTTTTCCAAAAGACTATTCAACATAATTAATCCGTTTTTTATGAATTGACCATTTGGAAAGCAAACTAAATAAGACAATTTAATGAATCATTTTCCTATTGCATGTGAGCCAGCAAGGATTGGGAAAAAAGGCATTGTTCACTCTCGTCACAAGTAAGCACGCCCTATTCAAACACTAAATAGTAAACCGTAGAATTGCATTTCTATTAGCGTGAACCCATTTTCTTTGAAACAAATGTAGTGAAAAACTATGTTGCGTGGAGGGTGGACTCTCCAAAATGCTACTGTATTCGGATTCTCCAAAAAGGCACTACTTTCAGAGGATCTGACACACACCCGGAGATATTTTTGGATAGTCCAGACAACATAAGTGAAAATTTACTTCGCGGCTAAAAACTATGTATAAACAAGTGTTAACTCCTGAAAAAATTGAAATAGATATAAAACTAGAATATGGCTAAAATTGTCTTCTAGCTTATTTTGATGGGGTCTTAATCTATGTTGCTTGGACTCTCTCCGAAAATATCGATGGGTGCGTGTCGGATCCTCCAAAAATAGTGTATTTCTGGAGGATCCGACACGGGTGCGACAACTATTTTGGAGAGTCCGTGCAACATAGGTCTTAATAGTGAAATTGGTTTGCTACCTTAACTTTCACCTTGTTGGTGAATGGTTGATTCCTCACCTTGTAATTTGCTCCCCCATTTCCCCTTCCCCTTCCTCCTATGTATAATAGAAATAAAAAAATTCATTTTGATTGAAAAAGCATTTGTATGTCAAACTTGGGCATGAGTTCCAAGTCCCTTCCAATATCCAAAGGCGAACCGTATAAACACACTGTCAAAAAGGCTAATAACCATGTATCAATAAGAGATAGCTATGAAAGTACTTCGATGCATCCTGTTCTACCCCTTTTAGTCCCACAAAAGGAACAAAAGATAAAGGATGGAACCATTAATGGCACATGTAACAAAATTATTCCGCCAAACTCAACCTCCAATTTCCCAATTCCTTTTCATTTCTCTATTTTATAAATGCACAAAATTCCCTATTATGCTTTTGGGGATGAAACAGTCAGGAATTTGTTAAATTTTCTGAAGGAAAAACAAAGTCAACGTGACAAGAAACTGAAATCATCAAAATAACACCCTCGCCATATAAAAGCAGTCCAATGAATGCAAAGATTTTGTTTTCAACGAAAATAATTACTAGCAATTTAACACCATTAACTACTACAAACCATTAACCAAAAACAATTGAAGAACGACGAGATTTTCAAAAAAAAAAAAAAAGGTATGTGGATTTAACTTATTCACAATGTCAAAATCCAAATAGTTCAGAGTTTCTGGGCAAAAAGTTTCTGATTGCAAATTGCAAATTTTCCCATTTTTCACAAAACACCATCTCAGATAATTAACAGAAGAATATTAACTAAAACAAATGGAAGCAGAAAGGTGAAGAACGTACCAATAGATGAAAATGTGTTTGGGAGAAGTTGAATGGCAAACTGCAAAGAACGAAAAGGTAAAACCAGGGTGAGAAAAGGATGGTTGTGAGTGGAATGGAGGAGATAACGGGTGGATCGGTTTCGATTTTTAAGGGGAGACGGGAGGGGTTGTTTTTGTATTTATAGAAACCTCAGTTCTTCCACTTCTCAACCGCGTAACTTGAGAAAAAGATAGAGAGGCTATATTTAGTTTAAAACATAATTTAACTAAATTATTACTATTATTTATCTTTGATCTTAATTTATTACTAATTTAGCTTTCACTATATTAATCAGCTCCACATTTATTAGATTAACTAGTAAATTTACCTGCGCTTCCCGCGGTCAATCATTCAAAAGTTTTGAGTTGAATTTCTTTTGTAATTTTATTTGAGATAGAAGAAATAACATTTTCATAAATCAAAAATAAAATATAAATTATTATGCCACAAACGAAATTTTTTAAAAATGTAAGGAAAAAAATACATATGAAAGCAGAAACAAATGCAATAAAGCATGATATTTTTAATAATATTATTAAATTCTAGTAATTATTTTCACATCTTGCTGAAACAATTCTTTTCCCAATCGTACCAAGATATTGTGGGACTTAGCTTAACTATCAATTGCTTCTGCAGCTATAAAATATCCCGTTACCATCTTTCTGTAATATGCGAAGTGCCATTAATCAATCAAGACAATTTCAAATTGATCGAGATTCGGCAATAGGATTTTTATATGCATTATGCTATATTTATGTCTAGTTTATTCCAATACTAAGCTCAATCCATACAAATATTTCAAATGGACCTTTTAGCATATCCATAGAATTTCGATTTTGAAGTTATTAAAATGGTAAGGTACCATACCAAAAGATAAATGCCTCAATCAAATTTAAGTTATGAAAGAGGAAATAAATATAGGCTTTACTTAAATAGAAGGCTAAAGAGCACTCTCATCTTCCTTGTTCTTTCAAAGTGTTGCGTCAAGCTTTTGAGAGGGCTCTCAAGCTTCGGTTCCGCAAAAGAAAATAAGGTTTGAATCAAGCAAGAATATGAAATATCCAACCAAGGGAAGGCACATAAAAAAATCTTGATATTTGTGTCACATAAGTTATAAGTAACCATGAGAATATGCTTCTCCTGTTGCTATTCCCTGTAATTTTAAGTCACTAAATTTTAAAAAACATAAGGAAGAAAACTAATGAAAAAGATTAACAGAAACATAGTGCAATAAAAGCTGACACCTTTTTATAGTTTTATAATGATCGAATGCTCGCGGAACGATCACCTATAAAATATAACGTAAGTCCTCTAGCCTCTTTTCTCATTATTATAAATAATACTCCATATTTTGTTAGTAATTGTATTTAGAGGTAAATGTATATAATAATAACATTAATCATTAAAACTGCTAGTATTTATTAGAGATCTTTAGTCTGACGTTCATATTCTATTTTAGAGACTTTAGATAATTTTAAAATAAAGTAAATTGAAAATGAAAGAAGAAAAAAATGAAAAAACAGTACATAATTCTTGCCGAATATCCTCCTATATAATTGGTAATTTTGACTTCTTGGAACATAGTTCTTGGGCAAGAATTTACCTACACCGAATAAATTTTTACCTAGTTCTTGTTGAATATGCTCCTAGCTGCTAGCTAGTAATTTTAAAAAGATGTTTCTGACCTCCAATAACACAAGGTTAATAAAGTGGATGACTTTTGAGCTATTTGAGCATTAACAAAGGTTAAGACGATATGAAAAGATTTCATCATCACCATGCATGAGTAACGCCTTCAAAAAATAGCAAGCTAGACTCATTTTACATAAACCAAAAAATAAAAATAGAAAAAACGAATAAAATAAGTCCAAATAAGACAAAAATAAAGTAATGTGCTAGATAAGTTTATACCCAAGTCCGGTACATGGATCAAAGTTCTTGACGAATGTCCTCAAGCTCAAATTTTATCATATGAACCTTCAGAATTCGGACTAATAATATTTTCCATGGATGCTAAATATGAGACACTACAAAAAAATAATTTTGATTGTTACATAGACAATGAGAAGCAAGCAGGAATGAGAACCAGATCAGCAGATTTCTATTTCAAAAAGGGAGAAAATTTCTTCTTTCTCCTTGAAGTCTTTGCCACAACCACACAACTGCTAATCTTATATACAGATGGATAAAGCAATGTGGATTTAAGCATAGGGAAGTAGGAGGCATTTTATTTTAGTAGGGAGACCAAATAGGTGAGAGGCTTTTTGTAACTGATGTGAACAACATAAATATGAAATTAATATACCAGAGATTAAGCATTCGTTGTATTGTATAATAATAATGTCATTCGCATGTCTTGTGTCTCTTAAGTTGTTGCTACTCAATTCGTAATATTCACTTATGAATTATCAAAACATAATATTTCAGGAGGCAAATAAATGAGAGGCTTTTTGTAACTGATGTGAACAACATAAATATGAAATTAATATACCAGAGATTAAGCATTCGTTGTATTGTATAATAATAATGTCATTCGCATGTCTTGTGTCTCTTAAGTTGTTGCTACTCAATTCATAATATTCACTTATGAATTATCAAAACATAATATTTCAGGAGGCAAATAAATGAGAGGCTTTTTGTAACCGAAAAAAATTATAATGAGATGTAATAAATTGATTAAAAAATGATCAATTTACAATCATTAAACAAATTATATGAAAAGAATGAGGGAGGAAAAGCCAAAAAAAAAAGAGAAAAAAGATAAATACGATCCTTGGCCAAAGAGAGGTGTCAACTCACCTCCTCTATTTCCTCTTTTATATATACATATATATAGAGAGAGAGAGATGGTAAAGGTAAAAAAAATTAAGTGATTCTTTATTAATTTTTCTAAAATTACTTGTTTTAAAATTATTTTTGTTAACCATGACAACTATATAGGACCAGAGGGAGGAGTTTTTTTTTTTTTTTTTAATTCCAATATCAAAAATTTACCGTTAATCATACTACCTTATACAAAATGACATGGCATGTTTTGAGATCAGAAGATTTAATTGATATTTTTTGGTATTTCATACGCATATTTAGTTTAGGATCATAAAATTTAAAATCTTCTTTACATTCATAAATTTTGTGGCTTGTCAAAACTAAGATATTATTATATGAAACAATACTTTATAAGTTTTTATCTTAATTTATTTTGTAATTATATAATTATTTGCCCTTAAAATGGATAACAATTGAATTTATACGCGATTATAGGATCCGTAGATTGATTTAACACAAATAATCAAGAGTATTAGATAAATGAGCTAAAGGTATTATGAACAATCAAACCAGTTGAAACGTTATGGCCTAGCTTGAACATGGATTGGGCAATATTTTCTGCCCTTGGTTGAGTCTTGGGTTCGAGGCCAATTAAGAACAAAGAACAAAATAAAGTATAGATTTTTCAATAGCAGAGAAGTAAGTTTATATTGTCTTGGTATGCGTGCTACAATCTCTCCATTGAATAAAAAATTATCCCTTTATATAGTAGGGGAGTTTCACCCCTAGTATAATTTTAAAAAAGGTAAAAATCCCCTTTCTCGTCAATTACTGATCTGATGTCGATGTCGGCCGAGATCTGCGCCATGACACCCGATGGGGTGCGGATAACGCGGCCCTCTATAAGTCGTGTGCAACCGCTGTCGTGTCTCATTCCGAGTTCGGGGAATTGTTGTCTTATCGAGCACTCCATTCGGCCCTTAGTACGAGAGGTCTCCAATTTCGAATCTGATCCTATGTAGTCATGTCCTAGCTTTGTTCGACCCACCGAGAAATCGAGGTATATGTTACCCCCGGTTTCATCCCACGTACAGATAGTCCCCTCATTTCCTCGAGAGTAGGTTTGCCGAAATGATGGGAGACGATAGATGAACCCCAGTTCCTTCCTTCACATGTCACAACCGAGATGACCGATAAGCCAAAATGTCCCATTACGTCGTTCTGACTTCGGACACGTGTCGTTCATCGGCCGGTTGCCTTCGAATGCGAAACATTGCGTATTTCCCCTATAAAAGCTTCTACCTATTGTAATTCTTCTACTTTCCGATCCAAGCTTCTACCTTCAAATTCTTTAGCGGCTGCCAACTCTTTCAAATCTTTATATCTTCATCTTTGGTCTTCAAATCTTCATACTTGTTCTTAGGTTTCTACCTAGATCTTCAACCTACCTTCAAATCTTCATACTCTTTTGTTCAACCTTCATACTTGTTCCTTCAAACCATCATACTTTTTTAAAAAAAAATTCATATTTTCTCAGATAGTAATGGCTAAAACTTCAAATCAGTTCCTCAGCAAGTTGCCTCTTCATCTTCCCACCCGGCCATATATGCCGAGGTGGCTACTTCTGAAGTGGTTGCTCCTGAGGTGGCTGCCCCCGAGGCCTCCCCCAAGCCCCCCATAAAAATCTTTATACCCGGGGGTTGCTCAATCGCATACGACTTCAAAGTCGAGAAGGCCTCATCCAAACATGACCGGGTTGAAGGAGCATGGAGATACATATGCTCCATCACTGAGGATACCTTTCCCAGAGTCCAAGAGGACTGCAAATGGAAAGGCAAAGACGTGGTTGTCTCTGGGCCCGAGGACGATATTACCACTCAAGTGGAGGGGTATTTAAGTATTTACACTTACCCCTTTACGTTGGGCCCAGTAGACCAGTAGTTTGTCCTTCTGCAAGAGGTAAGAGGTGTGCCTCGGACTCGGCCAAATCCACCCATCTCTTTGGAGGATCGTGATCCTCCTACGTTATTTTGTGAACAAAATCGAATCCCCTCGGTTCACCCTCGACCATCTACTCCGTTTGTACATTCCCCAAATTTTCCGAGGGGGACTAATCAAGCTCATTTGTCGATCCAGCAAGGCCCCCTTTTCGAACATCGACGAGGATCGAGACCGAGGGTGGCAAGGGCGCTTTTTTCGGGTGAGAACTGAAGATTTGATCCCTCCCAAATTATTGCCATTTCACGATAAGTGGAATGCATCTCGTAAGTGTAGCCTTCTCTTAAGTGTCAAGTTCCTTTTGTTTCCTTTCTCATAGTCAGTATTTGTGGTCGTGCAGCTGTTGCTCGGGTTCCCAATGCAGTTCCCCGGCTCAAGGAGTAAGT